GATACTGCGAAGAAAACTTGAATTGCCACATTGTCAGCACCTAAATCGCGCCTCGCCTCAAAGGGATGCTACAACGAAATTTCGGCGCTTATTTCTTCGTTTATACGAGTTCAAGGGAGAAGCCTCGCATCGGACACCCCAATATCTTGTTAAAAAAGACACGAAAAAGAATTTTGAAACGAATTAAACGATTAGAAAATGGCACCTGGTGCATGCCGCTAGAACCTCGTTTGTATATTGCCCGTCTAGGAACATCGGCAGGTAGTGGCTATGCCTGTCTCGACTAGAACTATAGCCTCACTGGTGCCCCGTGCGTGCAAGCATGTGCAGCGTGCGCGTGAACGTAGTTTTGGCAAGCCTGTAATTGCGCGCACTTGGCCACACCAGCAGAGACACATGGCAGCGGGATGTCCTATACTTGCAATCGTCTTGTCCACGTCAGCCTCGCCACTCGGGGTTGGGCAGAAATACTCTCAAATGTATTTTGAAATACAAATACTAAAATGCATGACAAAAACAGCCAAAACACTGATACAAAAATATTTATAAAAATTCATCGCGATCCGTATCAGAAATACATTTGAAAAATAGACAAATATTTGGAAATACAAATATAGGAACACATTTTGGTGGGGCCGAAGTACAGACAATGAAATATATGGTTATAAAAAAAAACATTATTTTTGATGTTTTGGTGTTTCCCTTAAAGCGCACGATGAACAAAAAAAAGCATGCTCTGGAATACAAGATTTTATTTTTAAACCAGCAAGCGAGTTCTCTCTGCGTGTTGGAGCCTGAACGAAGCTGGAATCAAATTTACCGCAGAATGAGCATTTTAATATCTTATATTTTGGGAAGTAGTAAGGGAAGCAAGCGATTTTTTCACCGCGGTTCGAGCGTGGTTTTATTTCCGCATCTCTTCTCTTTCTGAGACGAAATACCAGTGACATCCTAAATCAGTTTCCAGTCCTCCCAAATTACCTGGAGAAGTCACTACGGTTATGCTCGATTCCGACGCCTCTTTCAGCAGTGACCTTATAACGTTCATTTGAAATGAAGTTCAAGGAACTCGTCTTCTTTTATCTGTTAGTCGGGCGCGGCGAAAGGGCCTTCAAGTTTTTTAATCGACTGAAATAATGGACCCCCTAAAGCATGGGGAAAATGTGTTAACTTTTGCATAATAAAGAAGGGAGTCATGTGCGGTTAGAGACACAAAATGTCCCGGAAGAAACTTGGTCTTGCTCCCTCTGTGTGAACTTGTCAACGATTCTTTTAAGATTCCAACAAAATACATCGGCCCTAGTATCGCGATAACAAGAATACACCCGAATATTTTTTTTTAAACCGAAATACAAAACGTACAGGTGAAACAAACAAAAAAATGAAAGACGTTTACCATCCTCTGTAATGCGAAATTAGAGCGCAGTTTTTGAGGAGGAGGAGGGGACAGTACGGAGGGGAGGGTATGCCTCTCCCCTCCTCCTCTCTTCCTCCCCTCCCATTTAGCGGGAAATTTTCGCTAATAGGGAGTTTTCGTAGACCGCGTTGCCCCCTTCGCTAAGCGTTCCGCAACGAAGAAGTTGCTACTGCGCCTGCGCGCCGATAGCCTCGACTGTGGAGTTCCCGCTATCGTAGCGGGTTGTGGAGGGCCTTGCGGGACGGCGAAAACTATCTACGAAAACTCCCTAATTTTTCCGCAAAATTTAGCGAAAATTTTCCAGCTAAGTTTAGCGGGAAATTTAGCGGAGAAGTTCTCGCTTAATTTAGCGGGAAAAATTCCCCGCTGAATTTAGCGGGTTAGGTTTTCCCGCTAAATTTAGCAGGCAAACGGACGTTGCGGGACCTCAACACCAATTCAGTTTCACCGCTAAATTTAGCGGGGAAACTATGACGCCCCATAATGCAACGCGACGTTTACGCCACTCAACCCGGAAACGGGTTCCTAAGAGCTGCGCTCTAAAATTGTATCGCGGTATACAAAAATATAAATGAATACATAATGTATTTCTAAGATACTAGGGAGTTTTCGCAGATCGTTTTCGCCGTCCCGCAAGACCCTCCGCAACCCGCTATGATAGCGGGAACTCCACAGTCAAGGCTATCGGCGCGCAGGCGCAGTAGCAACTTCTTCGTTGCGGAACGCTTAGCGGAGGGGGCAACGCGGTCTACGAAAACTCCCTACTATCTCCATACATTTTTACCGCGATACTTCCCAACTTTGCCTTAGATTTGGTCGTACTTAGGAGGCTACCTCACAATTGCACCGGATGACGTGCTCTCCGCTGGCTATACTGTCCGAGCGCTTGCCACAGTGGGTCGTTTATAACGAAACATACAGCCATGGAGGCTCAAAATACAAACGTGCGATTGTCGTTGACAGAGATATTGTAGATCATATTCAGCCTCTTTCTGATCACGACGGGTGTATTTCAAATATCGTTGAAGTATCCCTTTAAACAACGCATAGAAGGCGTTGCAGGTGCTACACGCCATTATAACGGCCTAAGCAAAAAAAGAACACATATTTATGTTGCATCACAATAACATTAATTGCCTGGTTTTGTGCAGGCGTCCCTGCAAGAAAGTCCATCACTTCCACTGCACCCCCGTACCAATAGTCAAGCGTGCTAGTTAGTGTTTGACATCGAAATGATCAATCATCTTGTTTGTGATGTTTAACTTCAATCACAGGTTTTGCGAATGAGTTCTTTCCCAGTTTATATAGAGGTTGGATTATCGCGCCAGTACCCGTAGCCTGTATAAATACCCGTAGTCTGGTGCCATTCAAGGATGATGGTGCTGTGTTTTGGACATAGGCAATTATTAAGAATACCTACAGTATGTTGTAAACTGCCCTACTTCAACCCAAGACAAGACAAGAAGCACACACACCTTACTACAACGGTTACACCAGCTGAGCTACGAAAATAGGGAGAAAGGAGTAAAGACAAGCGATCGCTGGCTGTAATACTCCTTTCTCCCTATTTTCGTAGTTCAGCTGGTTTAACCGTTGTAATACGTACCACCAAACTAGCTCAGCTTCTACCCCCTGTTGGCACACACACCGTCAAACTCGGGGTATGTTTTTAGACAGTGTACGTGTAAATCCGCTATTTTTCCTCGTTTCTGGCTGAAGTATAGAAGTAGTTCACCAGCGTGCCTGCTTTTCTACACTTTTATTGTGTACCGACCTGCAGAACGCCTGTGAATTTATAGTCTGCTTTTTTTTCTTTTTTCTTTACTTTGGCTGGTGGGAGTGTAATATACGTAATAGAAGGGTTCATATCCTTAGAAATTTGGGCTCAAACATGCTTGCAATATGCTTTTGTGCTGAAATACAACATGGAACAAATCAATTATACCTGGCTTTTATAAATTGCAATAATCAGTTTCAAAAGATGTGACGCTTTAGTCTACAACCATATGACGACACGGTGTTTCTAATCCAACCCAACACTTTTTTCTGTGGTAAGGGCTGTTTGATAATACTTGGCGTCGGCTCTTCTTTGTTACATTTTCAAGGATAGTATGGCTTCCGCAGTACTCCAACGCTGTAAAAGCTACTTGTACGTGCGAATGCAAGAGGAAATCATGTGCACATATTTGCCGCGGTGCAGGGCTGCAGCACTGGAAGCTACACTATGGCCTTAACACAAAATAGTTGACTCTGAGTATAAGAGCTCCCTGAAGAAGTCTGGAAAACTTGGTAAACGTAACTCAAGTCGTATAGTATATGTTCCTGAAAACTTTTAATGGGGCGAACTTGTGCCCAAAAATAAAAAGAGAACAGAAGAAAGCAGAGCGTCGCGGGCGTCGAAGTCGGCGTGACAGCAGAGTCGAACGCTGGGGCGAAACTGACTGCGGCTCGCCACGCGAAGCCCCTTATGTACACATGCGTAAGATTCTGGAACAACCGGCGTAGAAGGTTCGACGCGTAGAATATTCGGACCTCGAACAAGCAACAGGATTCTCGAATCCACCAGAAAACTGAATTGCAGGATTAGCAAAAGATGCGTCGCTGCCAGGAATCAAACCCTGGCTTTTCGGTACGATAACCGTTAGGCCACGCGCGCGCTGCCTACTTGGCCAGCTGCGCGCGCTACAATATCAAGGAAAAAGTAAAATAATACGAATCTGAAAAAAAAAATTTAAAAACCACAAAAACCCCTACGATGTAACAAAACATAAATAAAAACGAAACGACTCTGCGAAAAAAAAGTGTACGTAAAACCACAATGAAATAATCTACGATATAAAATAGAAAAAAAGTATAAAACAGATCCGCGAACTTGTGCAATTAAAACCACAAAATAAAAAAACACTATAAAAAATGGGTATAAAAAATCTAAAAAAATCACTAAAAAACCACAATAAAAGTGTACTATAGATATGATCGCATAAATGGCGAGCAAAGTAAGACATGATAAGATGCTTGCAAGCGCAATAGACGCACCAAAGAAGAAAAAAACACGATATTAAAAGTGACTTTCATTGGCAATTAAATTGTAAAAAAAAATAACGACACAACATTCGGTGACAGAACTACAAAAGCGATGTATAAAGAAGCCCAAAGACCATGATTAGTACAATAAAAATTACTGTTAACAATACGTGACGTTTACAAGACGTTTCGTGTATATTTTAGTGTTCTTTGAGACGTTGTTACGTATAAATTTGAAAGATAAAAACTTCACGGTTTCAACTAAAAAAAAAAAAAAAAAAAAGTTAGCTGAATGACACATATAGGACTAATTTGCACGTGAAATCTAACAAGCATGTTGCGTTTCAGGAAAAACATGTGATGCAGGTAGAGGTCACACCTGCCTTTGGGCCAAGCATCGTTGGCTTGTGAAACACTTCTTCAATGATTTATTCGACGAACCTATCTGAGCGGACCAACACTCAGCCCTCAGCTACTTATCTAGCCAGTGTTTTCTGTCGTGATCCATAACTTAACCGTGGTATACATATTGTTTTATTGTGTCCCGGGACTCGTGCAGAATTCAAGGAGGCCTTCCTGCTGTTCGACAAGGACTCCGACGGCAAGATCACGTCGTCGGAGCTGGGCATCGTGATGAGATCGCTCGGGCAGCGTCCCACGGAGACAGAGCTTCGGAACATGGTCACCATGGTCGACACCGACGGTACGCCGCGCTCTTTATCCTCCCTTATGGTTTGTCTCGCGCACTTGGTCAGGTAACGGTCAAAGGCTTCGTATGTAACTGAAATCAAAGCATGCGCTCCTTATGAAAGTATTTGTTCAAACTTCAGAGTGCGCGTACCTGCACTATCTAGTTTGTAGGAGTGTCCTCGAACCGGAGAGGACCATCACGAGGCGCCTGCTAAAATCGGGGCTCAGCGGGTCTCTGCAACTTTGGTGACTGTCGGCGAGTTACACGACGTACCTTGAACGCCCTGTCCCAACAGGGGAACGAAAAATCACCAATATTCTTCGATATAACAAACTTCATCGTGGCCTGTAGTGGTCAAGCGTAAATAAATGTTGGTGACACGGTGCTGTTTGCCAGCCTAGTTAGGGTTTTTATATACAGGGCTTTTGTTTAAATAAAGCCGTGAAAGCTACACCACTTCGGTTTGCGCACGTGAGTTAAAAGGCCACGGGAACAAATTTAGGCGTCTAATCCTCACGATAAGTCGAATCAGATTAACTTCTTCATAACCTTTTTAATAAATAAAAATAGCATATGGTTCCAACTAGAAACTTGTTGAGCGTCATCGAAAACCTCTCAATCCACAATTTCTATAAGGACTTTGAAGGTGTAATACAAGTGCAGCATCTTGTGCTAAAGTGACCATTCGTGTAACAAGCACAAGGCTGGGCCGAGAAAACCCGGATTATAAGAGATGGAAAAACTGCGCGGGCGCGTTCAAGTTCGCACCGGTAGCCTTGCTTCTGCCGCACCACGTGCTCCAAGTCTTTCTAATAATAACTCAGTCGGGGGTTTCCGATCACGCTCAGCAAGTTTTTAATTAGAAACATGTGTTTATTCTCAATAATCAAAACTTTAATTAACATATTTTAGTTAATTGCCCGACTCATCGTACCGATTAGCTACCTTTTTTTTTTTTAACAATTAGGCTGAACTTTAAAATAAACTCCCTGTATATGAGTTGCATGCGAAGTCATTGCATTCTGAATTATGGCCATTTCTACTTGTTTTTGGTCAGAGAAGCAAATTCGGTGGCTCGGAATTCATGCTTCAGAATTGGTATGTGAACTCGATAACGCATACCGAAAATCTAATATTAAAAAAAAAAAGGTACATGGAAATTTTAGCGTATTTTTTTTAATTAGGATGATACACGCATTTGACACGAACGCAATACACGCCAGAAAAACGGAGAAACCAAACGCTAATTGTGACGTTATACCCAGAGGTTTCAACTGCCCTACGCTTGCCGCTTCTGAGGGATCGCTCGCTCCGGGAAGGAGGGGCTTGAGCGCTATTGTAAAAGTGATGGTGTGGCCACTTGGCGCATCAATTTGAAATATAATTTTGATATTTGTGGTCCTGGAGGTCAAATAAAGAGGATTTTAATGTCGTTGTTCTTTTCTTTCTTTCACAAATACAGGCCCGTTTTCCTTTGTGTGTATGCATGTGCAGGCAACGGGACGATCGAGTTCGGCGAGTTCCTCTTCATGATGTCCAAGAAGATGAAGGAGACGGACAGCGAGGAGGAGCTCCGCGAGGCGTTCCGGGTCTTCGACAAGAACGGCGACGGCTTCATTTCGGCCTCCGAGCTCAGGCACGTCATGACCAACCTGGGAGAGAAGCTCACCGACGAGGAGGTCGAGGACATGATCAAGGAGGCCGACCTGGACGGGGACGGACTGGTCAACTACGACGGTGAGACGTCGGCACGCTTTTTTTTTACTGCGCTTAATGCTTTCATGTCCCTGTCATGTAGCCTCGATGATGGTGACGTCATGCCGATAACGTCGCGGTGTTCATATGACGCCGTTAGCGTTTGAAAAGGTTCTCCATGGCGTCATCACCTGAACACCCTGATGACATTGCGGTGTTCACGATTCTGTAATAAATAATATATCTGGTAAAAAAATGCATACATATCTGGAAAAGTTTAATGATGGTTTCCTAGTTCCTGATTTCCGGTTCCTGGTTCAGGGATCTATCCTGGTTGGTGGTTTTTGGTTCAGGGAAGTATCCAAAGTGAGCTTCGTTGGGCAATTAGACCCAGTAAATTGTCTTGATATAAATTAAACGTAATCACCGCAACAATTCATAAAATTTTAGCCTAATATGCCTAATATGAATCGTAATAGATTACGCTTCTTGCTCCGTGATTCGTTCCTCGGTGGTTTTATCGGCTAATGCAGAAATCTCGTTCGTGGCCATTTTAGTCCAAATATGATGAGAAGTTTTACCTCAACCTCGCTATTTTCGGTTAGCCGATCCGAATTCACGGTGACAGGTTGCCATATAAAGGCATTCATCGCGTACCGAGATTTGTGGTATCCACACACCGGCGAAAAGATTGCTGCACATCTTCTCACCGCCACCCCTTGCGGCGTCGTTGCTTGGCGCCTTTGGCATAATTTTCCTGCCTTCAGACACGCGAGACGAGCAACACCATTGGAAGAGATCGTAAGGATAAGCAGGATTGATAAATTGACCGCACACACGGTGCCAAGGACGTTTATATTGCATGGAACGCTTTCAGTATACGATGACGTGCTCCATAGTGACCTTGGCGCGGCTAGTTCAGGACGACCCATTCGAAGCTTGGACGACTTGAAAGGACCAAAATGGCAATTTTCATGGCAATAGAGCGCGATCAGCCAACCGCGTTGCGGGGTTTTGGTCGTCTGTATGGTAGCATTCGCTTGTGTCCTGCTAGCAGACAAGGCAAGGCAATCGCGCTACTTTCTCAGGATCCAGTGATTGTCCTTCCCGGGATCTCTGGACTCGCTCGAGGATCTACATTCCACTTGTCTTCGCGAGTCGGCCCGTGCCCTCCGCATAGCGCCCACCAGTCGCTTTACAACATTTTCACTGCCGAGTCACATAGAATAAAAGGAGGCAGAGCAGCGGTAAAGGTGCATCTACTTAGCTTGTGCGCGGCCATCTTAGAATCCTGGTTTGATGTACCGCCGCCGTCGGGCAACGGTCTCCAACCTCTCTTGCGGAGCCAGGAGTGTTCGTTCTATTCTGACTGAAGGGTCTATTTCTCGCACAGCTGCGTAAGCAAAAAATGCCGTCGAGAATTTTTTTTTTCCCTTTTTTTAATCGCGCGCATGCATGTCGCGATTGAAAAGGAGAATGATGCAAATACGCCCGGACAGTCGCCCAGACGAGCGTAGCGGTCCAAGGGGTCTTGGCGAGGGATCAATCCGTCAACCTCCAGGCCCACGTCGCCAAGATGTCGAGTTTATTTATTTTTCTATTTTGTACTCCAAGGCCCCGGAGGCATTATAGATAAGAGCGTTGAATGCCGGTGCGCAGATGGGATCATCGGTAATTTTCTTGGAGTTCGTGACTTCGGAGGTGGCAACAGTGGGGCCATGGAAACGGTGCCGGTGGTTGATGCAGTTCTCCGTAAGAGGGGGCCAAAACTTATGTATGTACGACACGCCGGCATCTTCTTGACCTTGAATTGAAGACTGGTGCAAGAGTATGATGGACGAAGAAACAGCTCTGTCTTGAGAATCTGGTTAGAATAACACCTCAGGGGAGAGACGCAGACGAAGCTATTTCCGTTGGGCGTGATTATTTTTATTGATGAAATACTAGCCTACCTAGGACGATTCGAAAAAATGAAATGGGCAGCGAAACTCCTGTACTGATTCGATAATAATGAAAACTATAGCACGCCGTGTATCCCGAATAAAATATGCACCCACAGCCGCTGTGCTGGCTGTGGGCCGGTGTCGACCCATCTTCAAAAATGTAGGGATTCTTGACAAGGGGCAAAGACCCAAGGGGCTAGGAAAATTTTAGAAGCCTATGCGATAAAAAAAAAAAGAAGGGCATACGAAGTGCATCAGTCAGACGTCGCAACATTTACACAGCAGAGAGATTGCCTTTTTAGACACGTGTTGATTGACCATCCCGTGAGCGACGTGTTTCTTGTTGACGATTTTGCTTTTATTAAATGTTCGGTTGAAGGTCAGCGCTGGTCCTGTGTGCACTTCTTTAACCTTGTCCCTGTTTTTCTTCTTTTTTTTTTTTAGCGGGCTGTTTGCTTTTTCGGTCAGAAAGAACACGTACGGAAAGTTGTCGAACGCCCACGACGCTGCACTTTTGACACTGTTTGATTGCTTCTATCGGCTCGTAACGTCGGTTGTGAGTTTAGCTTCCCATTTGCGTGTGATGTCGCACTGTCTTGTGTGCCCGCTCAGCAAGGAGTGCCTGCGGTGAAGCAAAGTGCTAAATGACGGCCGTGGCGTTGGCTCTGCGTTCCCAGCTCTTTCTGCTGCTGCAGCGGCGGTGCTATTGAACTCTGTTTACAGCCCAGCACGTGCGTGTTCGTCTCTCTGGAAAGCGAGCAAAAGCCCACACCATACGTACGGACGCTGAAAATGGCATCTATCAACTTTCCGAGGCAGTACATCGACAGACACCCACGTGCTCGCGGAGTCCGAGCCCCCAATCAAAACTTTACGCACATGCACCTTTCATTTTTGAACTTAGCTTTCGCTCAATCATGCAACTGTTCCATATCAAGGAACTGTAAGGCTACAACTTTCACTGCACCGTTTTCGCGTGACTTGCCAGGGCATACGGGAGGTGGAGGGACTGAGAAAGAGAGGGAGAGGGGGGTATGCACTTACTTTATTTGGACGTTGAAAAGCGTTCTCAGGCCTATCAATCATGCGATACCTACGTGAACGTATGGAGTATGTATTCAGAAGCTATTTTAGCTCGTATGTATATGACACAAATGCTCCCACAACGTGGTTACTCTCTCAAACCGCGCAGCCGCGTTGAGTGTTCAGCAGTCATCGCTCTCTGGTCATAAAATGCACTGCGCTCCTGCACTGCTGCACCGCGCTGCTGCGCTGATGCACTGAGCTATGTTGCACAAAAAAACGGGCTGTTATTGTACATTATAATGGAACATTTTTGCTTAACGTGCGTATACACGCGCGGTTGGGTGGACATGAAACACTTGGGTCGGAGGCGCACTTCGGGCAATTATTGTTAAGAATATATTTAAATTGCAATTACGTACAACTATTCTCTAGAAGTAGTTAAGTGCAATTAGAATTACAAGCGTACTAAAATAGTTATTTAAAATTATTCATAGCTCTCAGAGAGGCATGCAATTACTTTCTAATTATTTTCTCTTGACTTGAAGGATGTTCATGCGATAGCATTATTTCGCAGAAAGATGCGTATATATATGCGGCGTTCAGAAGCGTAATGGGTTTTATGTCTCTTTCTTTTTTCGCCTACTTCATTAAAGCGAGATATGGGAGCTGAGTTTTGAGCATGATGTTAAGACAGTTGTTTCATTATTTTGCGAGGCCACCAAAATTGTATATGTGTCCTTTTATTAAAGCAGTTCGAAGTAGCAGCAACATAGTTCGGTATGCACCGAGAAAGCCTGGTCAGGCGCACACTTTTCATTATTCTGGAAAAGGCCGACAGGAGTCGTAATAGGATACTCAAGGGTAGAGTTCCTGTTAGTACTGTGCGGAACGGTGTTTCAAGGAACGACGTTCCTTGAACGAGGTTGTTGTTGTTGTTGTTGTTGTTGTTGTTGTTTTTAGGTGAATTGAAAGAACGTTGCCGTTCCATCTTTCATCGGTGCAATTGGATCGGTGGAACGGCGTTCCTTTTCTGTCTAATTATAAATAATGGAGCTCTAATTCGGTAGGCATTTCGACCTTACGGGATACGGAAGCGTTCGAGGGATGGTCGAAGGAACTGGAACGAATGTGACGGTGCAACACGTATCATTCGCGTAATGTAGTTAAATTTCTACATTTTTACTCGCTTGCTTTCTTTCATCTACGAATTATCCAGCATCATATTTAATCAAATTGCGCAAGTGCAACTTCACTGTAACGACACGTTTGGTGATAAGAAATGTAACGGGAACTGTTTTTTATTCGCACCAGTGGAACTTGTGACGGGAACTCGTTCCAAGATTGAAAAAGAACGAGCTTTCATTCCTCTTGGAGAGGAACGTGCACAACGCTGGTACTTACAGTTAGGCACTCTATTCGATGAACACATCGCAGTTGTGTTTTGATTCTTTCTTTCTGTCCGGGCAATGGAAGGCGATCTCGCTCTATTTGGGACACGTTCTGACTCCCTCTGCGGATGCTGTGTCTTGGAAAGTTGCCTGGCTGTGCGTCCGCATTCGGCTTCTTAGTCTCGGTTCTTTCGATTCACTACGAGCTGGCAAGATTGCAGTGAGGCAAACGCCGATGGTATCTTCGCCTTCCAAAGACCTTATAAAACGAAGCTCCAGCGTGTCAGAATAAGAAAGAGAAATGTAATTATAATCATAATTCAAAATTTTGCAACGACTGATAGTGAAATGTTGTCAAATTAAGAACAAAGATTACTTTTAGTCAAACTTAATGAGTTTCAATACAAGTTACCGAAAAATTATTTAAATTAAGTTAATTAGTGCGATGTGATCAGTGAAGAAAATCCCGTATACTTTCGGTTACTTCAAGGGCGGTGTAAAACTGGACTCGAGTATTCGACAAACTAACTCAGGGGCTGCCCTTCGGATTTTATACGTTGCTTGCGCGTCACGTCATCGGACTGTACTAATGGTCACTCGTGCTTGTCAAGCCGAAAGAAAAAAACAAATTATGCGTTGCGAATTGAAAATGTATACCGCAGTAAGATACACGCGCAGAAGCAAGGTCCTTCACAAACGCCGCTCGCGTGACGTCACCGGTACGAGGCGCTATCCTTCAATCAAACTTTACTCGATGAACACTGCTAATCACAAAAGTGATGCGTCATCAATAACTCGGTGTCACCCACACGTGTGCAGGGCCATATATCTGTTGTCCCCGACTCCCTGCACACGTGAGCGAATCGGTGTCGATGGCCGCTGTCTCTCTTCGCAGAGTTCGTGACAATCCTGACGGCGCCCAAGTGAGGCAGGCTAGGTCTTCTGCACGAGGGATGAAGACATTCGGGTGCCTGCCTCCAAGTTCGCGGTCTCATCGCCACCCAGCAGCGACAGCCCCGGCAGCAGTCTCCCGCCGCACCGTCCGCCCACTTCCACCACCACCTCATCCATCCATGCGAGGACACGCACACACACGCACACACACACGTGACACATCCATGCTTAGCGAATTACGCTTGCGCCACCCGGCTAGAGAGCCTAGATTTGAGAGTGTTTCCAACTGGTCGGTCGGGGTCGCGTGCTTTATGAGCCTCGTTTGCAATCAAAGGTGCGAGGAGAAAGAAGCGTCGATTGTCCGCAAACGACTCCGAGCTTGACTCGGGTGTCTGAGCCCTCTCCCCTCCTCACCAGGTGATGGCGCCCGCACGTCCACGAGCAACCAACCTGCGCAAGAAGTGTCCTCCGTTAAAGTGCAAACGCTCCCCCAATGGTTTCAGTTGCCTCCTCTTTTAGATCTAGGCTCTCTGTACACCCGGCTACGGAAGGCAGCGCTGAATATCGGCACGGCGTCGAACCCCGCATGGTTTTACCATTCGTTGATGTGGTCGGGGTAGCCTTATCGATGTCAGTGCCACGCTGCCTTGCCCTTTCCAGCGTGCTACGACTCTGGCCCAGCTAGCGAGTCACTCCCCTATCCCCCGCCCTTCTTTTGATTTGTGTTTCTTGTTCCCAACCTCAGAGTGTTATTATGTGATGGCAATCAATCGATAAGGATCATCTTCGTACACCGTCCTCGGTCTACTAGTAGCTGCGAAAATATAGGGTGTTTTCGTAGGTGTCCCGCTACGCTGTCCGGAACCCGCTACGAGATTCGGAGCTCTCCTGCAGGTGAGGCTAAAGGGGTGTCCAAACAGGAAACCACAAAACTCACGATTTGTCGGAGTCGTGCGTCTTGTCGTGTCCTGTTTGGGCACCCCTTAGCTTGGGCAGTCGTTGTGGACACGTAGTAGCGGAAGCGGAGAAATGGTCTACGAAAACTCCCTAATAAAAGAAGGTGCTTTTTGTTCACGGAGCCTATCCATTCGGGTGAGAAGGGTTTGATCAACGAAAGGTGTAAGTTATGATGGGAGGGTGTGAAAGGGACACAAGGTGATTGTAATCTGCTCGCTCTGTTGGCGCTCCCTGTGCGACTATGTGCACCACGCTACAATTGTTGTCAACGCGGGGGAGGGGCGTACTCCTTCAATTCGTCAAATGTATGTGCCGGCGTTCTTCGCATTTTGTTCCGGTTAGAGCGACAGTAGAGTTGTAGTAGACCGTTTCGATACCCCCGATAACAATAGGATGCATGCTCATAGGCGGCGGCGGAGTATCGGGTATCGTTAACGGAGTCATCGAACGATCTAAAACTCTCAAGTATCGATAGTTTGTGGCTAGTTTTATTTTCAAAGGGGGTATTCACGTGACGTCATGTTGACGGATGCGTGCCTACGCGGGCTGTGATGTATTGTATCGCGACAACGACGAGATTAGGGAGTTTTAGCGCATCGTCCTTATACGTCTGACAACGATACTCGATAACGATAGGATGTACGTGCAAAGATACCGGCGTACTATCGGGTATTGTTATCGGAGTTATCGGGTCCGTGAATACCCTCTCATGGAAACGCAGGTTGAAAGCCATTCCTTCCAGAACATTAATGAAGGCAGGCTTCACCCGCTTTCTTGAAGCGCTTGTTCTATTCTTTTATCACCAGGAATGATCAGATCTGATGACGACTACTGTCAAATTAATATTTAATAGAGAAGAGACGAACAATGTTATTGTTTCCAAAAACCTTCCAATGTGGCATATCTTTTTTTTTTTTTTCGTTCTTTCCATTTGAATTTTGCAGACCGGCGTTCTATGGGGCTATTTCTCAACGATAAACGAGACGGGGACGAAACGACGTCAAAGCATTAAAGTGCTCTTTGTGATCGTGCACGTTCTCGCCTTTTACGGCTATGAGAATCTCATCGCAGTATACATTGTTGCTTCGGAGTGTTTTGTGTTTCCGATACTTTTTTTTTTTCAACCGTTTGTTTTATTTCTGCATGTACAAACTTTTTCCCCTTTCCTTTTTGCTCCCTCGCAGTGCGCGAGGAGACATAAATAAAGGAACATGTTTCAAGCACTTTCATGTTTACCTTTCTAGGATGCTTTGGTCTTCCAAACAATGGCTTGCGAGTTCCTGCGCCTTTACTTACAAGGATCCAGAATTCATTTGTTGAAACGAAGAAAACAGAGGTCAGCTTGGATGTCTGTCAGCTGTAGCTGGCAACGGTTTCTTTTCAGGGCGTAAGCAGTCGCGGGTTCATTCCAGGTAACGTATATAACAGCGTCTCGGAAGCGGCACAGAGCATTCAGCAATATAAAAAAAATATTCCGCGAATGTTTCTATTAGGTGTTATAGACAAAAAAACTCGGGCTGGACTCCGTATGGGCAAAAGATCCCGGAAGGTGAATTGTTCGTCTGATTGTTGGCCGCATCTCCCTGCATGGAGTCGAGCGTTAACGTCTCAGATCCCGAAAGAAATGTTGCGGCATTTAATAATGCAAACGTTGACGAACGCACGTGCAAAGCGCTCTCCGTTTTAGATTTTAAATGCATAGCGTTTACAGGTTCACCTCTGGGCTTCCGCATGTAGCCTCGATGGTGGCGTCAAGCTAATCATGTCGCGGTTTTCACAACAGTTTGCGACTGCCCGTGGTGTTCATCGTTTTCTTTTTCCATATGACACCATGATGTGACATTGTAGCGTCACGTCACGTAACATCATGCCGTCGCCTGACGAAGTGTTTCACGTGACGTCACGGAACGTGAGGTCACGTGATCACAGGTTTCTTGATGGTCAGGTGACATCCCGTGACACCACGGAGTCACGGGAAGTGACCCCGTCACCTGGTCGCGTGACATGTCACATGATATCAAGCGACATTATGACGTGACATCGTGACGTGCCGTCACGTGACACCATGATGTCACATTACACCGTAACGTCACGTGACACTTTGACGTCACGTAGTCACGTGACGTAATGTCACGTGACGTCATGTCACGTGACCACGTGCTCTCCTAAGGGTCACATGTCGCCCCGTGACGTCAGGTTATCTCATCACGTGACACCAACACGCCACAGGCGACCAATAAATTGCTTGCATTAAGAGCGCCTTTGGAATATGCCCAAGAGACAGGTCGTTTTCGTTTACTTTGATATATGATATATCCCTTGCCAGTGGCGTATCAACTTGTTCTTGAGTGGGGGGGGGGGGGGGGCAAACCAGACACACCCCCCTCCCCTAGGGCCGGGGGGCGGTGCCCTTGGTATCCCTCGGGCACCGCCGGCCAGTGTTCGCCCTGCCCAGTGGTAGCTGCTTCAGGGAGGGAGGCCTTGTCCCCCCACTCTAAGAACTTGGGGGAGGGCAAGCGCCCCCCTTCCCCTCCCCCCCCCCCCCCCACCGGTTGGTACGCCCATGTCCCTTGCGTTTCATTTTCACTTTAGTGCAGATAGTGCTGCAGACTTACGCCAGCACGTGCAGCGCGTGTGACGAAATTCGCATCCTCCTCCTTTGTGTTTGGGTAGTGTAGCAAAAGGTATGGGGAGAGCAAGTCGTCTGCTTCTTGCGTAGGAGTTGCGGTGACGTCAGAACGACGCCGAGCTCTGATGGGCTCTGATGGAAAGGAAAGTGGCTAGACCTCAACGCTAGATCCTTTGAGGTCTACCCACTATTATTTTTTTTTTTTTTTTTTTTTTTTTAGCGTTCTGACATCATCGCCATTCCTGTACAACAGCTTAGCGTTCTGACATCATCGCCATTCCTGTACAAGCAGCAGACAATCTTGCGCTCCGATGGTTTCGCTAGACCATCGCCGTAGCTCTCCGCTGGCACGCGTTCAGCCGTTCGGCTCTAGTAGGCCGAGCGCTCTGCCGTACCTATGTCGCGTCTCCAGCTCCTTGCTCGCCCTCCCGCGGCGGAAACGGGAAGGACTCTAGTGAGGGTCCCCCGCTTCTCCTGCTCAGCGGGCGCGACGGAACTGCTCGCGATCATGGCTCGCCAAATGTCATTTCAGAATGCAAACAAGCTCTCTTCACTGTCCCAATATAGTGCTGCAACCGGTATGGGATTGTACCCTATTAGAGAGTTTTAGTATTGCGCGTAGAAGCAAGTGCTGTGCGTTTGCGTTAGAGTTGCGTGCTGCACTCTGCGCGTGCGCGTCGTGCTCTAATCCAAGACAGCAAATTTGGGGCTCCGCTCATGCGCAGTCTGGAACACACGAACACATCGCTCGTATACGCAATACTAAAGCTCACTATACCGTTTTCACCGGTTTTCAACTCACACGAAACGTGCTGCAGTGAGCAGACGTGCAAGCGGGCATGGCGTCCTTCGAACTGGAAAGACATGAGATTGGGGAGACGACGGCGCGTAAGAACTAAATAAAAAAAAAACTAAATGTTCTCAGTTATTATTATTTTTTTTTTTTTTTTTTACGGGGGAAAAGGAGGGGGGGGCATTTGGTTCCAACGGATTGGCGGCAACTTTGGAAGTTTTCCCGATTGACAAAAGTCGCGATTTTGATAGCACCATATGCGTTGTCCGCAATTAATGTAGTTTTACATGGATCTCTCAGATTAGCTAGAATGTTTTCATTTATTTTAGAGCATTTATATTTGATAACTTGTTAATCAAAATGCTGCAATTTGCACCAGTGATGATAATGTGGACACCTTTAATTGCCGTACTTGTTCGCGCGTTTGAAATTAGATCACGAGCAAAACAAAAAAAAATATATTAGAGCTTGAAAACCTACGTGTTCAAGTATATTCATTGTATTATTGTTATTAATACGAGTTGCGGCAATGTAAGCGCCAAATAAATGCTGCGATCACAAAACTACGCCATTTAACAATAAAAGACTTTTCAGAAAGGTCTCATTTTGTTTTATTTTTAGCATATGAAAAATTCTGACATCGTTATCAAGGTATACATAGACAAACAGCTAAACACTGGATGTAATATAAAGTCATATGCGTCACGTGTTGCTCAAAAAAAAACAAAAAAAACACGCACACTTTTGCTGTTTCGCTTGGATTCCGTCTTTGGGTTTTTGTAGTGAGAATAGATTTTTTTCTCTCTTATTTATAAGTTTTGTGAACGTATTGTGAACTAGTCACCCGTGGCGACATTTCGTAAACTCGGATTGATTTTGCCATTTTTGTGTTGGGAATTAAAGCAATTAATCATCCAAATACCCCAAAACCCTTAAAACGTAAGGATCAGGTGTCAAAGGCAATAAAAACTCTCTGCCGCAAGTTGCGACAGCGCTGAGATACACTGTCAGACGCGCTCTGTGCAAACGGCAAAGGCCAAGGGGTGAAGTGACAGCGCCCCCCGCGAATTGCGGCGGGAGGTGGCGATTGCCCCAATAGACCCTTTCCGAAATTCAGTGCCATCTGGTGGTTTGTAAAGCAGTTTGGGTGTTGCCATATCAATGGCGGAAATAAACTTGTATCGGCACCGTCACTTTCGCAAGTCAAAGGCACGTGAGGAATTGTTCAGTGTAAGTTCTTTCTCGATCACTTTCAGTTCGATGGTGACCAAGAACCTGCATTCAGGACAAAGCTCCAACCCACTCAGATGGCTCGAGAAAATTCCATACACCAATATGCTTTAGAGCCGATTGTGTGCCGCCCACAGAGTGACTGAATCTGAGTTAGTAGAAATAAACGCTTACGTAGCTCTTGTGTTCCATTCGTCGCGTCGTACTGACCCCCTGAATGTACAGGCCTCGCAAGATCCGCTTAGGAGCATCTTCAACGTCTTCATTTATCATCACTAGAAGGCCGCCATTGGTATGGCACAGATGCCGTTCCACAGATGATGGTAGTGATCAAAGTGGCCAGACTGAATTTCGGAAAGGGTCTATTGCAAAGGCCGTAAGAAGAGAAAGAGAGCGCGCGCTTCCATGCTCTACGGGGCTTTCAGGCTGCACACTTGCCACTGCCGAGTGCGTTACAGCTTGCATCTTGTGGCACTAGAGAGCATAGACTGAGGTCAGGCCGGGTTCACCTCAAACCATGGGTCCGGATGTTGGTCATAAGTGCGCATACGCTGCGGTGTTGCGTGGCGAGAAGGAAAGCAAGCGGAAAGGCGGAGGCGTTTGCAGACGATTAAAGGGGTCGGGGCACGCCAAAAATAAAGAATTAGATAGACTGCTAGGACTCATGGTATGCTCCTATATTTCTGTTGAATTTGTTTTGAAAATGGCGCGCGAGTGTCCTGGATAAATCGATTCATATGCGGGACCCTCGGATCCGCCCCATTCGAAAAGACCGCCGTGGTTGTTGGGTTGGTTACGTCGTGTCTCTGGATTACTAGTTACGTCGCCTGCCCAACGCGCGGCGTCCCCTTGCACGCACTCACAGACTTGACCCTCTCTTGACCCGTACGAAAATGTCAGATACAGGCCGGAATGAAAAATGCCGGTTCCGCCTGGACCCAAAATTAGGGCACCAGTTTGTATCCGGCCTGGAACCGCGCAGTTCCAGACGGGATACAAACTGGTGCCCCAATTCTAGACCCAGGTTGTGCGCCGCCGGAATTCCCGCTGCGATCACCACTGGACCCTACAAAAGTATTTCGTGCGATGCCCTTAGCCGTTACAAGCGAGATCGTCGCGATTTCAGACCCTTGCGAAAGAGCCTGGGTTTGAAATCGCGACAATCTCTCGCTTGTAACGGCTAAGGGCATCACGCGAAATACTTTTGTAGAGTCCAGTGATGAGCACAGCGGGAATTTCGGAGGTGCACACGGTCGTCCAAGTGTCGTCACCAAACACGGTGCACAAAACACACTCACAGCATGCACAAGCACAGTATCCAGTGTTGAGCGCCTCGGGAAGTTCCGGCGGGCAAGCGGTGTCCGAGTTGTCCTAGTATTATCACCAAGCACACCAGCGCCAAGTGCATCCAGATGCCGAGCCAAAGTGCAATGGGTCGGCAGCTTTATACTACATGAAGATCCAAAGCCGAGGTCAGTGGGATCCATCCAGGGAAACGATGGGCGCGTCGGTATCCGTGCGCCCGCAACGCGAACGTCGCCGCCGGGCGAGCGCCGGCCGACAGTTCGAC